CAGGGGAGGGCACCAGTGTTGGGGCAGTTGGGCAGGTGGGGTCGGGGAGGCCATGCTCCTGGGAGGCACGCAGGAAGGACGTACCAGGCACGGGGTGGGGGGTGCACAAGACTCCCCAAGGCTAAAGACACACCAGGCCCCAGGCAGGTGCTGGGCCCCCCTTATTCCTTGGAGGGAGTGGAGGGAGTGGAGAGAAGAGGCTAAGGAGGGGGTCTAGGGAGGGATCTTGGGAGGAAGCAGGGTGGGGGGGCCAGGGAGGGTGGCCTGCAGAGGAGGACCAGGGGTCTGGGGAGGAGGGTTCTGGGGAGGGAGGCCAGGTCTGGGGGGCCAGGCAGAGGAGCCGGTAGCCCCGAGAGTACATGCTTGTGGTTGGCTCCAGCTTGAGTCCAGATGGTGCCCTTGAACCTGTCCTGCCCTGGCACAGCCCCCAGCTTCTTCCCAGGAGGCAGCAGAAGCCTCTGCTCAGAGATGCCCTGGGACCAGCATTGCTCCCGAAACCCCCTTCCCAGGCCCTTGCAGTCCCTCCCTAAGCTCACCTGGCCAGGTGGGAAGGCCATGGGTGGGCGGGGCATGACACCCTGCACTGCCCGCCAGCGTCTGTGGCCACAGCCCGTTCATCACCCCTGTCCTTCACCCGTCCCCGCTCCTCGCCTGAGGGAGAGCCATTTGGACCTGCCGGAGCTGAACAATACAATATTTCTGTTGAGCTGTGAAGTTGATTAATAATTTGGAAATGAAATCAATATGGGCTTTGCTTCTCGTTCCTGGTATATCCTGTGCGCGAGGCCGGCGGAGAGGCGGCTGGCTTATAGGACAGAGATGACAAGGCACCAGAGACAGAGGATACTCGGCCTCAGAGGATGGACCCCTCAGAGGAGCAGGAGGGAGGCCTCAGTGAGAGGTGGCCACCCAGCCTCGGGGCATGGTCCCTGCGGTGACTGTCCCCTTTTGCCTGGGTCCCCCACTCCCAGGATGGGACCCAGGTTCTCACAGAGCCAGCCCTTCACCACACCCCTGCACAGCCATGGGGGCCTCAGTACCCACATTTCCCGTGCCCCAACAAGCTCCAGTCCCTCATTTGACTCTCCCAGGGACACCCAGGTCTGAAACCTGCCCCAGGGCCTTCCTTGAAGCCCCCTGAATGGGTGGCTCAGTCACTGCAGCTCTCCTGAGCTTATGGTCACCCATGACCCCCTGGTCATCAAGGCTGAGTCCCTGCCAACTCAGTTTTAGACTTTCCTAACATGGCACTTGGTGGTAGGGCCCATCCACAGACACCTCCCCAGGACCCCCCTGTGCCCTGCCCCTCTGCACTGCCCCCCACCAACCCAACCCACAGGAGCCCAGGGGCAAGGCTGCGCCATGCTGCTCCCTCTTCTGCCAGGAGTGGGGAAGTCCTGTGGGGCCCACCCAAGACTTCTCTTGCCTCGGCCCTCAGGCCTAAAGCTGCTAGAGGGAAGACTCGCCCACCCCCCTCAGGACCCAGGTCCAGGTATGTGAGCACCAGGGGAAGAATGCTCACATGACCTGGCACAGAGGGCCGGGCTGCAGAAATGGGACCTAGGAACCCTGAGGAGCCCCCACCTTCAGGACCAGAGCAGCAAGAGACACCCCAACACTGCGGGGGGCAGGCCCAGGACCTGGTAGATAACAGGGTGGCAGCATGGTGGCCTGAGTGGGGAGACCAGCAGAGATACCAGACCGAGGTACGTGGGCTCAGGAAGGATGCCCCAGAGTGGGTGGGCAGTCCTGGGGTGTGGGAGGGAAGCCTGAGGATGTCCCAGGCTTGGTCGCTGTCCCACTGTTCTAGGTGGGCTGTAGAGGTGTCTGTGACCAAAGCCCCAGGGCTGGAGGGGCATTTCCCAGGCCCCTACCCAATGCACGGCTCCGCTCCAGTGCCAGGGCAGCCTGACACCCTTGCCTGGCTTGCCCATCTGGGCGCAGGGCTGGCTGCCCTACCCTGCCCTGCCTGGCACAAGGGCCCCACCCAGCATGCCATCCCTCAGCCCCCAGGCCAGCCCCACCCACAGCATAGGCTGCCTGTGGTCAGAGCTGCAGCCTGTGGCTGCACAGCTGCCCCCACGGTGCCCACAAGGACAGGGCTACGTGGAGAGAGGCTGGACCACGTGACCTTGGACCCTGCCCAGTGACCTTGGGCAGATGCTCAGGGCCCCATGTGTGGAACAGGGCACAGAACAGAGCCTCTGGGCCACACCACGAACAGTCTCCATTGCCTGACGCAGGCTGGGCACACGGGGAGCAAGACACAGTGGCGACTCCTTCCTCATGTTGGCAGCAACACTGCACTGGCCTCGGCCCAGCCTTCACATTTCCTCTCAGCAAGGTCTCTGGAGCACAGGGTGGGCCTGGGATGTGGGGTCCCACCCCTGGGCCCTTGGAGATCCCTGGCTGGGGAATCCCAGTCCATGCCTTGGTGTTCAGCGGTCAGTCTGTCTCGTCCCCTCGTCTGTACCAGAGACCAGCCCTGGGACCCAGGGGTGGGCTACAAAGGGCAGCCAAGCCTGGCCCCCAGGGCAGAGCCCCGAACTGCCTGTGGCTGGGACGGCTGTGAGGCCTCTCCTGAGGGCAGCTGGTGCACAAAAGGACAGGCAGCCTCTCTGGCTGAAGTCTCACGCGTCCCCCACTGGGCCCGAGACAGCGGCACAAAGGCCGGAGTAGCAGTCCCTCCAAGGTCCTGGCTCCTGAGTCCGTGGTCTCCGTCCACTCAGCGGACAACAGGCCAGCATGGAGTGGTGAGGGCCTCCCCACCCCAGCCACACCGGAGGCTCTCACCACAAGCTGGGGAGGCAGCAGACGGCACAGGCAGAGGGAAGGGATGACTCCGGCCGCACAGCCGAGCAGTCGTGGCAGCTCCCCGAGAGCCAAAGTTCCTTGACCCGCGCCGGGCGGGGGAGGTGGTTTTATAGGAGCCATTGACCGGCAGCATTGATCTCTAAGAATGTATCGCACAAATCATTTTGCACTAAACTGCCGAATCGATGGAGAAATCTCCCGGAAAATTTATATTAAAAGTCTCTGTTTGCCTAAATGAGTTCCCTGTGCCCATATTGAATATTTGGCTGATGAATTGAATGGGTTTAAATTTGAACATTGCAGACCCATTAAAGAATGAATTCTTAAATCAAACCCTGCCATTTATGATTGAAATGAGATTTCCTCTGCGATGGACCAGCCACTATATAAATCAGCTGTGCGTTTTATACCGAACCATAAACAAGATATAATTCTTTTAAATACACAACAGGTGCCTTAAATCTTTTGATGCATCTTGTATTTATCTGAAGTGTGGATTGCTGTATTTACACCAGGTCTCGAGGGGACCTCTGAGGGTGCTACCAGTGAAGGTTAAAGTTGCCACGCCCCCGGGGCCCACTATCCAGAGCCTCCAGAGAAGCCAGGTGGGGCCAAGAAAAGCCAAACCTGGGCCCAGGGCCCCCGCCAGAGCTCTCTCAGGGTGGACTCAGCGCCATCTGACACACACAAATGGGCACACACACCTTCACATGCATCACACATGTGCATATGCACGCAAGTGATGTGCACACTCACATTTACTTGCACTCACACAAAGCACCCATATGCACAAACACATAGGCCCACACCACAGATGCACAAACTCACACAGCCCTTGTACATGCACACGTATGCAAATGTGCACATAACACACATGTACACAAGCACACAAAAATGCATGCATGCTTATGCATACCACACATATGCTTGCATTGACACACACAGCACCCATATAAACATGAATGTGAACAAGCATGCACACACTAGCACATTCACACACAGGGTTGGTTCACAAATGCACACATGTACACACCTACACTCATTTACCTGCACAAATGGGTGTGCTCACATGCAGGCACACTCACATGCATGCTCATATGTGTGCTTACATACTCTCACATATATACACACCGACACATAAAAGCACGCAGCACATGCATGCACACATAGCACGTGCCAAACACACACAAGGCAGACGGCCAGATACACGTAGGCACACTTCTGCACAAATTCACTAACACAAGCATGCATGTGTCACATGCACACACACACATGCACAGAAGCACATACTCATATGTAGCACAATGCTCACCCAAGCACACACGTGTTCGTACGATATGCACACACATCTGTGCCTGCACATGTGCACACATGCCCTCGCCTCCCAGCTCTCCCAGTGGCCGACACATCTGAGCAGTGGCAGCCCCTGCAGCCCACCCCTGCCTGGTGGGTACAAGCTACTCCAGAAAACAGAAAATGAAGGATGTTCCACCTCTGTCCACAAGGCAGGTATGACTCTTGCCTCAGTCTGCTCCTGCTGCTGTAACAAAATACCACAAACTGGGTAATTTATAAATAACAGAAATGTATCTCCCACAGTTCTGGTGGCTGGCAAGTCCAAGATTAAGGTGCTGGCAAGTTTGGTGTTGGGTGAGGGCTGTTCTCTGCTTTCAAGACGGGGCCTTGTTGCTTTGTCCTCTCATGGCAGAAGAACAGAGAGTGAACCACCCCCTCCAGCCCTTCCACAAGGGCATGAATCCCATCCATGAGGGCAGAGCCCCCAGGACCTAATCACCCCCTAAAGGCCCCACCTCTTAATACTATTGCATTGGGGATTAAGTTTCAATATGAATTTTGGTGGGACACAAACATTCAAACCATAGCAACCCTGATGCCAAAATAAAGCACACACAGACAGCACAAAAAAAGAAAATCATATATCTGCATAAGGTATGTGCAGGTATATCTGTATGTATGTACATGTGTACACTACAAATGTATGTGTAGATGTATGTATATATGTGCATGTATCACAAGTCAGGTGCATACATTTTAAATGAAATGCTGCTAACTGGATCTAACGGTATATTTTAAATGACACTTGTGACATACTCCAGGATGTCTCCACATCAGAAAATGTGTTACTGTGATGCACTCCATCAAGAAACCACACAGGGATGCAGGAAGGGCCTCCGATAAAGTTTAATATCTCTTTTTAAAAATAACTCAAAAATCAGGAATGAAAGAGAACTGGATTATTCTATGGAGAGAAATATAACTGCATCCCTACCTCAAGTCACACACAAAGACCTAGAGGCTGAGAGCACACCGGCAAGTTTAGAAACTGATATGAGAAAGTGAGAACACAAAGGAATAAACAAGCAGCAAAGACCAGGCCACTCGCAGCAGAGAGCAGAGCTGCACGGTTAACGTGTCGGTGGAGAGCTGGCCCTAACAGGAGACAGACGGACGCGACATTGGACACACATCATGCCCTCGAGGCAGCAGGCGTGGGGAGGCAGCCGCGATGGCAAAGACACAGGGAACAGGGACCTGCTAGCCACGCCTCATGCAGCTGACCCCAGAGCCCAGGGCTCAAGGGAATAGGGTGTCTGCCGACTCTCAGGCCGCACTGCCAAGCTCACAGGGGCACCACGAAGGACCACCCAGGCCCCACTATCAGCAAAGGGACGGGGATGCACCCGGGACACCAGAGGGCGGTGGGTCACAGGCCGGCAGCGAAGCTGGACGGTGCCAGTGAGCACAGTCGATGCTCGGTATTCTCCTTCTGTGCGTGGCGTCTCCGCGAACTCTGCAAAGCGCACACTGAGCCGTTGCTCCTATGGGTGACACAGGGTTAGGTCCCTGCAAGCCCCTGGTCACATTCTCACCAACTGATCAAAACACAAACTTGCTTCATGTGTGGTTCTGTTTTGAGACACTGTATGAACACACGTCGTTGACTCGTCAGCAGGGAGCTCACGCCCGGACAAGGCCCACCTACGCACGTCTTCTCCGAGAAGCTCGCCACAGCTGGGGACCCTGGACTGGGCCTGGGGCCATTTCAACCACTAAAATCAGCAGAAAGAAGCATGTGAGAGTGAAAATATGGCACAAATAGACCACAAAGAAGACACGTGTTCGGGATGAGTGGAAATGAGAGGGCAGGCGTTGCCTTACTCTGCCCCCCGAGAACATGCCCACTGGATGACTCGAGTCTGTCATTCTCAGCACATGTCTGATGACCATGAAACCACCACAAGTATCAACCGGAGGTCACCATACATGTTACCAAGTAGGCAAACTCGCCAGTACAGAGCCTGAACGAGGAGGGGCAGCCGTGCCGACAAACACAGCATCATGCCCTTTGACCGGCGCCACTGCGGCCGGGACTGGGGTGCCGTGCTGGTGTTTTATGAACATTGGTCTGGCTGTTTGGGCAGAGACCAACTGACTAAAATGCAGGCATAGCTGCTCAGGGCGTCCCTGACCACGGGGCTCAGCTCCCAGCCTGCCACCCACCCCAAGCCCTGCTCGGCTCTAGGAGGCCAGCTCCCTGTCCAGCCTGACCCACCCGCAGTCCGCGCCGTGAAGCCAGCCCCGTCCACCTGCAGCGCGGGCGCGGCCGTGAGCTGGGAAGCAGGAGAGCAGGGAGGCAGAGTCGCAGCAGGCTGCGCACAGGGAGGAGCCGAGCCACGCGCGCCAGGTCAGAGGAAGGGACCCCACGCTGCAAGGCAGAAGAAAGCACAAGATAAAACAAAGACAAAATGAAACAGGACGTAAGACAAAACCAGGAAACAGGCCTTGCACTGACTGACAAGGCCATGCCACGCGCCCCAAGTGTGACCCCTCAGCCAGGAGTGGGGCCTCCTGCCCACCCTGCCAAGCCAGGCTGGTGTCCTCTGGGACAAACACAAGAACAGGCACCACCACGGGGACAGGTGACAGCATGCCTGTGCTGGGACAGGCCAGGTGGCAGGGGAGAGTGTGTCGGGCAGACAGGCCTGCAGGTGAGGAGCTGGGTCCCTGGCTGAGGGAGGTGGGACCTACCAGTGGGTCAGCGCATGGTGACCCCAGCGGCCCTAGGTTGAAGTTCATGGCAGCAGACGACCCCCGTGGATGACACAGAAAGAAACACAAGTCATGTACACACACACATCCTCGGACGGTTAGACATGAAAAGAAATACGGATATGGAAAATACACCTTCACAGATGGACCCAGTCCCGGCCCCACGTCACTTCTCCTGTGGCTGCCACAGGAATGGGGCAGACTCAGATGTGATCATCCTTTATATACCCGCCTTGCACAGAGCAAACACCCACGAACTTGCCATGGCCATAGGCCAACTGGCCACGGCCCCATTGCTGCCCTGTCTCCTCTCCCCAGCCTCCCTCACCCGCCCCAGGGACACTGGCCCCTCTGAGTGGGTGACGCCCCCTCAGGGCCCTCCTGGGGGATGATCTTCAGATGAGACCGCAGCCCACACCTACAGCCTGACTGCACCCGCTGAGCCTGGAGCCACATGCGGTTACTGACCTAGGAAGTGATGAGATAATAAACAGCTGCTGTGTTAAGCAAATGGCTGGGTGATTTGTTGTGCAGGAACAGGCAACCAATACACGAGGAGTCCACGAATAGCTGCTCGAACTAATACGCAGATGTAGCAAGGCTGCAGGATATAAGGTCAGCATACAGAAATCAATTTTATATCTATAAGCTGGTAGTAGTAAACAATTAGAAAAAGGAAAAATTTTAAATCTATTTAAATTAGCATCCCCAAATAAAACACATAGTAACAAACGTAACGAAACACGTGCAAGACTTCTACAATGATAATTGAGAGAAATTATAGACAACAAATAAATGGGCACAAAGACCATGTTTGTGGATTAGAAAACTCAACAGCATTAAGATGGAAATCCTCCCATAATCGGTATGCAGATTTGACACAATCCCACTCAAAATATCTTTTTTGTAAAACTTGCTGAGTTATGTGGACATTGGTCCATGCGTGCAGAAGTGCAAAAAATCTAGACTGGCCTAAAATTTTGGAAAGAAAGGAAAAAATTAGAGGACTAACACAACCTGATTTCAAGATTGGCTATAAAGCTACAGTAACCAAGACGGTGTGTGGTAGAATAAGGCCAGATGGGTTCCCAGGACTGGACGGAGAGCCCTGTGTGCGCACAGGCAATTTATTTGTGACAAGACACCAATACTCTTTAACGGAGCAAGGAAAGTCTTTTCAGAAACATACAGGGAAAATGAACCTCAAGTGTGACTTCATGACACACCCCCAAATTCATTCAAGATGGATCACAGACTAAACCTAAAAGCTGAAACTGAGTGTTCTAGAAACGTGCTTGAAAGGGAAGCTGAGGCACAACACAACTTTACAGTTCGTCTGTGCCAACAGCATCATGGGTGGGGCAGCTCCAAGTCGGAAGCAGCTCTGAAGGTCCCCACGGGGAGCGCGGTGGTGGGCGGCTGGGACGCACAGACGCGGAACTCGCTGGTCACAGTCACACGGCTGCCTTCCTGGGTCTGTCACACTGCAAAGTCCTCAGTTACGTAACTGAAAGCGTGGCGGCTGCTTCTGATGGCTAGAGCATAGCGTCTGCCCTCCTCCATGCAGGCTCGGGTCAGGTTTCCTCCTGTTCGCAGACGAGCAGGTGGAGGTCCAGGGCAGGCCTGGGCCCATCCCGCCTGCTTTAACAAACAGGAGAACGTCATCTCGGCCCCGGGACCCTTTCCGGATTTACCTGCAGTGTTGTAAGTGGTCTCTGCATGCACTTTCTCACCTGATGCTCTTGCTATTATTTATACACAGCTTGTCACAATTTGCCGGCGTTAACGTTTTACCAATTTAAGCAAAGTACAGGAGTGTCCCCCACGTGTAGAACTGCCTCAAAGATTTCCTTTACATTTACTAAGGAGCACATGCCTCAGTGTTCCCACCTGGCCTCGCCAGCACACATCACTCGCAGGCCTCACGGGGAGGAGCAGGCCTGCGGCACTGCCTTCACCCTGCCCGCCGCGCCCCTCCTTCCGCAGGCTCCCAGCTTCCTTCTGACATCATTCCCAGACCTGCTTAGAGAACCGCCTCGCCGTTCAGGGTGGGTCTGCTGGTAACACACTCTCTTGGTGTCCCTCAGACATCTCGACTCTCCACTCCCTTCTCTTCCTGACGGCCACCCCCCAAGGACCAACTAAGGGCTGACGCTCCTTTTCCCTCAGCATCACGTGTGGCAGGACCTTGGGGTATCTGTATCTGCCTGGGGAAGGAGAGAGCCCATGCGCAGGGGCACCCATGAGCCTCAAAGAGCCACCTGTGACCAGCCAGAGCCCCCTGCACCACAAGGGACCATGGGTCAGGGGTGCGGCCACTCAAGAGCTGATGTTGTCTGCTGGGTGTGGAGCCCTTGGCCTCCCCTGCCCAGAGGCAGAGGCCTGGCCTCTTGCCCACCCTCCGGGTGCTCTGGCACCTCTTAAGCAGGTCACGGATGTGTCTTTGAGCCTCGTAGCCAGCACTGCGGTGGGCACCATCATCTTCCCACCTTGGGGTGAGCAGCTGCTATGGGCGCCCAGCCTGGCTCCCCTCCCCACTGCTGGGGCTGAGCAAACAGAATGGGCTGCAGGGAAGACACAGGTCACAGATGCCTCATGGGCCCAGGCCTGGCAGCTTCACCCCAGCCACACCAGCATGGGCGAGGCAGGAGGCAGGACGTGTGGCAGGCAGGCCTAGGGCTGAGTGTCCGTGGGGGTCGGCCCACTCCACACCTGGGCCTCGGACACAGGGCTGCCCCGTCAGAGCCATGATTTCCTGCTACATCATCGCTCTGGCCCATCCATGCTGTCCATCCCCTGCAACCCGGCCTCTTGTGACTGCCCTACCTGCATCTGCTGCGTCTCTGAGTCAAGATCCAGGGCCATGGGCCTCGCACTTGGCCATTCACGGCAGATTCTAGCTGCTCGTGCACTGCGGCTGCATTTGCACCAGTCGGGGCCTGGCAGGAACAGAGGCCTGTGGTTACAGTACTCAGGAAGGGTTTAATAAAGGACCTCTTACCAAGGCCTGTGCAGAGTGGGGAGACCCTGCACCTCACGGCCAGGCTGGGGGAGGCCACGCACCCGGCTCCTGGACCAGCTTCATCTCACCTCTCATCTCGTCTCATGGTCTCCATGTTTCCCTATGTTTCATTATATAAAAACCAACTTGATGCTTCATAAAATGTCATTCTATTTTCCATTACAGATCTTGCTTGGCCACTGCTGTTGAACAAAATGACCCCTCCTGCAGAGCAACCCACAGGATACCCCTGAGCTCTGTCCCCTCATCTCGTCCTGGAACAAGGGAGGCCTCTCAGGGAGCTGTTTCCATACAGGGTAGACTCTGCTTGGCTCCTGCCCCCATCAAGAATTGTGTTGACTGTATACACCACCAACAACCAAAACAGAACAACAGCACCAACAACTCCAAAAATACCAAACAACATAAACTCCAGAACATCAACAAAATAACTCCACCATCAAAAACAATAACAAAACACCAACACCATTTACACCAATACCCAACACCACCACCATCAATAACACAAACACCAACAACAAAAACACCAAAATATCATCAATGCCACCAACAATAATACCAAAGCACCACCAATAATGACACCAAACCACAAATAACATGACCACCATCAACAACAACACCAATAGCACCACCACTACCCACAGCAACAGCTACAATAACTAAAGTGGCTTAAGTATTATAAGTTAGAAGTTAACTTCTCTCTCATGAGACAAGAGTTGGAGGTGACCAAAACAGGGCTGGCTGGGGCCAGGCCTTTACGATCATAGGTACCCAGGCACCTCTGCCTCTTTGCTCCTTGTACCTAGTTTCCTGCCCAAGGTCACCTCATGGTTCCAATGGCTGCTAGAACCCCAGCCATCACCCCTCTGTCTCAGGAAGCAGGAAAACAATGGGCAGGGTGCTTTTCCCAGTTAAGTCAGCTATTTTTAAGGAGCCTTCCAAAAGTTCTTCCTAGCACTTCTACTCATATCTTGGTGGCCAGGCCTTAGTCACATGGCCACACTCAGCTGCAAGGAAGATTAGAAAATGAGTCCAGATAGGTGAGGTCCCCGCAGCTCAGGGCAGGTGCCCATAGGGCCTCCACAGCAGAGAGAGGCAGGTGGGGGACCAGGATTTGTCCCTCTGGTCCCCACCAGCCCTTCCCCAAGGGGCTTGGGGAGCCCCCCCATCCCCTGCTCTGATTGTCGCAAAGCCCCCACCCCTCCAGCTCCAAGACACCAGCACAGGTCTGTGGGAGACAGCAGGCCACCAGGAGTGGGGCCAATGTCTGGTCTTAGGCATTCTGTAGCACTGTGATCAGGGGCCAGGACCCTGCTAGCCCCGGGGTTTCCCACCTGCTGTGGTTTGAATGTGTCCCCCAAAGTTCACGTGGGAATGTGACCCCCAGGGCAAGAGTGCTGGGAGGTTGGGCCTGAGGGGAGGGTTTGGGTCACAAGTGGATCAATGCCACCCTCTTGGGAGGGGGCCTCACAGAAGGGTGAGTTGGACCCCTCCTGTGCCCTCCCACCTTCTCTTTGCCCTTCCGCCTTCTGCCAGGGGATGACGTGGCAAGAGGCCTCCACCGAGAGCAAGGCCCCCGTCCAGCCAGCGTGACAGCCAAACCTCAGACCCCTGGCATGGGGAGGAGGATAGGGACAAGAACGAATGTGGCACCTTCCCTGCGGGTCACCACAGCTGGGCCCCCAGAGGCAGATTTGGCTTGTATTGGCACCTTCACTGGGGCTCCTCTGTGGCCTTCAGGCTCCCAGCTGGGCCCTCCCAAGGAGGTGGGGGCCCCACAACCTCCTTCTGCTGAGCCCCTTCTCTACCCAGAGCCCTCCAGAGCCCACCACACACAGCCCTGCCCCACTCAGCCAAGCCCAGATGCCAGTCCCTGGGGTCCCCTGGGGGACACCACATTTCCAAGCACTCTGAGGGTCACCTGGACCCCCTCACCAGGCCTGAGGGGAGCATCTGCATCCAGCCCCGTGAAGGTCCAGGGCCAGGGTAAGGCAGGGGCTGCGACTTCCCTCTGCAGGTCTGCACATGGTGCAGGAGGTCTCCACCACCTCCCTGGGGCCCAGCAGCCTCGAGGGGAAGGGGAAGCCGTATGCCGGGGCTGGAGCCTGCCGGGCACAGACTTCACACTTTGTCTGGTCTGGTTCTTGTGTGCCTCGCCCTAAACCAAGGAGGGAGGCACCCTGTGATCACCACCGTACAGATGGGGAAATCAAGGCACAGAGTACAGAAATAACCCAGCCAGGGTCATGCAGCTGGACAGCAGACACTCCAGGCTCACATGCCTCCCACCATGGCCACCAGCTTGGCCTGTGGTCCCTGTGTGAGCAGCGGGTGTAGGGCAGGTCCAGCCTCCAACCAGCCACAGCCGGGGCCCCAGAGCACCCTCCCCAGCACAGGGACACATGCTGCAGGAGGCTGCGTCCAGCTGCAGGTGGATCCGGAGACCAGCCAAGGCCCCCCTGGACACAAGGCCTGCCTGCCCTGTCCCGCCACGGAGGAGGCTGCCGCAGCCATCAGCAGAGGTAGCTTCCTAATCCCCCCAGGGACAGGGCTCTGAGGCTTGGCGGTGGCCTCGTGCC